ATATTTCAGCTAATATTTTTTTGTGATTATAATTAAGATAATTTGAAGAAATGCTCTATAAATTGAATTTTTAATAGAATAAATAAAAAAATTATTGTCAATAAAAAAATTTTTAATAATTTATATCTAAATATAATATAATTAACATATTTATATTATTATATAAAAAGAAAATGTTAATAAAAATGAATTAGCTTTTGGTATTTAAAGAAAAAATATTTTTTTTTTTATTATTTATATGAAAAACTTATGTAGTATTTCATTTCAAATTTTTTTAACATTTTTTTAACTTTTTTAAAACTATAGAAATATAAAATATTTATATTTATATATATATTTTAATCTAGTATCTTAATCACTTATAATTTTATAAGTATTTTTGATATTATTGAAAAAAAATATATATAAAATATAATTTATTAATTAATCAAAAATTATTAAGTAATCATGAAACTGTTTGATTATCTGATCATCAATATAAGTAAATTTTAATGGTAATTAAAACAAATTCTTAGGATTAAAACATAATATTTAAAAAAAAGCAAATTGTACTTTCATTATATTTTTAAATAAAAAGTAATGATCTAATAATTATAAATAATTATTTAATACTAAAAATATTTTTCTTATCATATTATCACTTACTATAATTTATAAAAGTTTGCTACTCATAAAAAAAGACTAGGCTATATGGTATATATCTGAAAATATGAAAATAGAGTTAGCCTATAATCACTATTCACTTTCACAAAAGAAAGTATAAACACTAATAAATGTAAATGCAAACTAAGAAATAAACAAATAGATTTTATTCTTATTTATATTAAAAAGTGAAAAATTTGAAATTGTAGGATTTAAAGATCTTTATGATATTTAAATATATAATATATTTATGATTTGTAATATGAAGCCAATCACAATATATTTTTTACTTTTTTTATAAAAGATTTATTAATTTATGGTACTTTTTTTAATAAAATGTTGTTTTGAATCATTTTATTCTTATTTTTTAATAAAATTGTTTATGGAATATTTACTTTGTACATGTGATTCAGTAAGCCGATCAATCTGATATTTGATGACATTACATACAGATATATTAATCATTTTCATTTTTGGTAATATCAATTTTACAAAATATTTTTTTTATAAATAAAGATGCATTTTTACATTTTTACTATGTATTTCTAATACTAAAAAATTTTATTTCACCCTCCTTAAATGTTACCGGTCACGTGAAGGTGGAAACTTTAGGAAGATACTGTATTAGGAAAGGGCCAGAAATAACATTATTTTAATTTTTGAGATTTTGACCCTCTCCCCCCTTCTATCATCAATTTCCATTTAAAGAAAATCAAGAATCACGTGACAAATCTAAATTTGATAATACAGTATGTCACAGTATTATCACGGCATTATCGTGGTATTTTTATATAAATCTATTAGTAAAACATAGTATTGTTGCGGTATTTTTATATGAATTTATTACAGTAATAAAATCTTAGTTTTAAATTTAGTATAAAAATTTATATTTAGCATAATAAATACTTATATAAAATAAATAAAATAAACTTTAAACTCAGCGAGAAAAAAAAATAGAACAGTAAAAAAAATAGAATGATTAATTAAAATTTAATTAATTAAAGTTATTATATTGTTCTCTTTATTATTGAAAAAAAAAATTATGTTAATTATTAAGCCATTAATATCAAATGTAAGATGACTTTGCTCTCATGATTTTGCTATTGTATTTTGCTATCGCAAATCCTTTGCTTTGCTTTTACTTTTCTTTTCTGTAATAATTGATTCTGTGAATTATTTTTCCTTGTACATATATTCTCTATATAACCTATATCATTTTGCGGTAAAATTTCGAGATTTCTTATTAATTCTCACATTTTATTCTTTTGGATGAGTTATCGTTGTAAAAATACTTTTGATGAAAAATATTTAAAGCATTTTTGATATACAAAATTATAATATACGCTAGGACAATATTCATCATAGCCTAGTAACTTTTCAAAATATTCCAAAGTATGAATTGGATTTAGAAAATAACCATCAATACCTTGTATAACAGGTGGTAAAAAACTATTGTTTTTGGATAAAAGATTATAAATTTCAGGTATACGTGATTGTTTACAGCAATTTCGATCCTTATATTTTCTCAAGTCAAGTGAATACTTGCAAATTTAGCTGTGCCTATCAATCTATTCCCATAATTCTTCATTTATATTTAAAAATTCTGATTGATCATGCTCTTCGACATATGTGATAACAACTGGATGACCATTGATATTGTCACACCCCTAAAGTTCGCATAAACATTCTTCCGCATGTTTAAAGTTATTACGTCTGAGATCTTCATTAATAACGGTAATATTTCCCTTAACGCTTTCAAGATGGTTACCATATGTGAATGCATCTAGTTGGATACCTGTTAATTTACCGAAAGTGAGACCATGCTTCGCTCTACTGGATTAAAAGCTAACTACCCTGGTACGTGTGTTCGAACTGTAAGATAATCTAAATCAAGTCTTTTAAAAAGCAATATATATTTCAAAATATTGGCAAGGAATCGTGGATTTTTATTCGGATCACCATCTGTTAATAAACACCAAAAAGATTTTACAAAATCTTTAAAATGCGTAAACTCATTAAAAGATTCTTCCTTTGTGATTAACATAAGGTCAACTATATGCGTTTCACAAGTTGTACCTAAAAAATACTCTAGACAGACCAAAATCTGTATCTTGCCAGAGCGTAATGAAGTTGTATTGGAAGGGTCGATCATTAGATAGATAGATAGAATTAACTTATGTTTCAGAGCATTAGTAAAATCGTGGTCAGGAACAGATACTGGTTCACTTGTTGTTTGAATAACCTTAAATGTTCTTCTAACTGCAGCTACACCAAGAGGAACCTACAGAGTTTTGAGAATTAAACATTAGAAACTTATATTAAAAAAAAAGGTTGCAAATAGATAGCTTGGCTTTATCATCTTGCAAAATCAACATAACATCATTAGGAAAAGCCGATGTGAAGAACTTTATGCCCTTAACTGAAACCAAGCAGTAATGTTCATCAATATGATCACTCATTTCATTTTTCCCAACAGATGCTAATTGGATTTACATTAGATGATAATGTCTTTGTGCTTCTTTTGTTGCAGGATGTCTGGGCTGCATGTAATTTTGCAAAGTGGACTTTGCCATATATATATCATAGTTTTTCTCCATTTCCTCACGAAAGTGTTTGACAGTTTGTACTTTAATTATTTCCTTTCGCCTTTTATGATCTGTAGCACCAAATTTGATACTACTATGCATCTTATTTAAAAGTTCAGGATCATTCATCAAAAATGATGGATGACCTGGTGCATCGTACACTTTAACAATATTTTCTTTTTCTAGTTTCTCACGCTTTTTATTTCTTGCCCGTTTTCAAGCTTCTGCATTATCCTTTAACCTTTTAAGTTTCTTTTCTTCTAACGTAATCGTTTCCTCAAGCTTTCTAATTTTTGAGGTGAATTGTGAACGAAGTTCTGATGATGTGGCAGCTTCTAATAGCTTGTTATATTCATATAAATCAGCCTTATTTTTTTGAAGACTTTTGTGCAACTGTATTTGTACCGTTGCATTTTGTAAAAGAGTGGGTATGGGAAGAGGTTCTAAGGGTTCTAAAGGTTCTGGTTCTGAAGGTTCTGGTCCTGAAGGTTCTGGAGGATTTGAAAGTAGCTTTGAAAGTGGCTTTGGAGGAGGATTTGCTATAGACTTTTGTTGAGGAAAAAAACCTAAAGAAGAAGGAGGAGTGAGCGTTTGTATTAATTCAAAAATATGGTTTTTGATAAAGTTTTTGTCCTTTGTTTTTATTTCCTGCCATCTATTCTGGGCTCGTTCCTGAAGTTCGTTTTTACTTGGCTTTTCATTATTGGTATTTATCATTTCACAGAATGCAAAAGCATTAACAAACTCTTCATAAAGGTTTCTTAGTTTCTGGATAATATAATTTTTAGAAAACTTTGGCTACCTAAAATATGTTTGCTTCATTATAAAATATCAATCCAGCGAAAGAAAAAAAGGGGCATGCGAGTAATTGCGTAATTAACGTTGCAAAGTTTCTACATTTTTTTTTTATTAAGAAAAAAAAAATCATTTTTCTAATCGATAGAACATATTAAATTGAAAAAATGGGAAATTTGATTTGTGCAAAGATTTCGATAAATTTCCCGTGATTAATTTACAGTATAACAATTTAAAAATTCGGTATTCGCTATTAGCAACAAAAACATTTGCTGATCTAACGACTAAAAAATATAGACATTTATTCATATATTGTGTCCCCCCTCCCTGACATAAAATTAATAGTGTTTACTCGTTAATATGAACATTAAAAGAGAAACCATATACTCGCACCTTATCCTAGAAGGTGGTGTAAGTTTCTACTTAACCGTTCTACAACTCTTGAGCTCATTGGATGTCTTGAAGATTTTGAAGACGACTAACTTCTTGAGAGCGAAGACTGGCTCAAGATATTTATAACGAAGGCAGTGAAAATTCTCAAGATAACTTCGACTGAGGGATTAATTTGGGCAGGCATTTCTGGTATTTCCTCCCTTGAAACCCTTCTCTCCAAAACTTTTTTCATTATTATTTTCAATTAATTTGCCGGCCGCATGTTTAATTTTACGAAGAAATTTAATAATTTTTTAACTTTAAGCGTGATTATTGGTTCTCCATTCATTAGCTCGTTATTTGGCGCAGGATTGATCTTTCAAGGTTACATAATCCATTGTTCGGGAGATCAAAAATCAAATGAATGCATTATTAGGTTTTAATCAAGCCTCAGCAGGGGTTGTTCTACGCCTGTAATTTTTGTCTTGGTTTTTTTTAAAAAAAGATTAATTGTGATAATCAAACTATCCAAATCTGGGCAACTCGCACATGATATAAAGAAATCATGAATTTTCATGGATTTTAGATAATAAATTTTTTTTCATCATGAACTTTAAAATAATAAAATCGATTGAAACAGAATTTGGCATCAACATTACAAGATACAAATCCGAAGTTACAGGATTAACAGTAATTCTCATTGAAACCCAAGGTATTAATCCGATTATACTAAAATTGGCCCAAATGATTTAACCCGAATTTAATAATTAAAACCGTAATTTGATTTTTTTTCATTATTGTAGAAGCGTTAGTTAATGGGAATTTCCTAGTTGCTACAGAAGGTATTTACAAATAATACCATTCGAGGATTAATTAAATGATTTTATTTTAATATTTATCATTTAATAGCTGCGGATGATTACGGATGCCCCCATACTTTAGAACAGTATGTTTATTCTTTGATTTTAATTAAAATCTAATGCATGAAATAATTCTCACATACATATATATATAGCCTAGTGTTCCTTGGAAGTGAATTATATCCCCACAAGGTATTGAACATTTTTAGTAATAACTTGAATAACTTTGAGAATTATTTTAATCAATTATTTTAAACATTTTATAGGGAGTATTAGATAATCTTGCTAATCGAACGTTTTCTAATGGGACAAATGCATGGACGGCACAAGATAACACAACATATACAATCCAAACGGCAGGAAGTCAGGGATTTTTAAGTTTATTACCTGTTTATGTGGATCATATTCTTTATCCTACATTAACTGAAAGTGGATGCTATACCGAAGTTCATCATATTAATGGAAAAGGGGAAAATGCTGGTGTGTGCATTTTGTTAATATACTGAAAATATTTATTTAAATATTAATAACTTTATTTATGTATTATTGTAGGGGTATAGATTATTTATTATTTTAATTCATATATTTTTAATTTATTAATCTTGGTAATTTCTATTTAAGGTGGTTTACAGTGAAATGCAGGTAATCATTGTTTATGTTTATTGTGATTCTCATTTCCTCATTTATTTTTTTTTATTAAAAACAAATTGGTTTTATTAATATATTTAAAGGGAACAGAAAATTCCAATGAAAATCTCATTGAATTGAAGTAAATTAACAAACAATTTGAATGTTTTGCTTAAAAATTTTTATTGCCCGACTAAAATAAATTTGGCTTTAGATATCAACGATTAATGTATCCGGAAGGTTGTGGATATCGTTATGAAACTGGTGGTCTCATGGAAAAACTAAGAACTCTCAGTGTAGAAACTAGTAAGTATCATAATTATAGCAAATGATTTTGAATATTCAATTCTTTTCTAATAAACTTTTTAATAATTAGTCCGTCAAGTATGTATGATTTATCATATAGCCTTTTAATGAATATACTTCTAATACTACTTGACTATACTTGATTAGTATCATAAAGATTATTATAGACCGGAAAATTTATGTCTAATTATTACTGGGAATATTTCACATAGTGAACTATTCAAAGCGCTTGATCCAATAGATAAGAGGATATCTGAGAAAACGAAAGGTTCTTTACCAACTCATAAAAGGTAAGAAGCCTAATTGATGCAAATACAATCAATACACTAAATTAACTACCACTTCTTTTGTTTATTTATTAGACCGTTTGTAGATTCACCACCAATTCCGCTACTTGAAAAGTCTATTAGAGACCAAGTAGAATTTCCTGATGAAGATGAAAATTTTGGTCAATTACTTATTTCTTGGTTGGGTCCATTAGTCGATGTAGGTATTAGAGAAACGTTAGAACGGGAGTAACCAAATTAATTCTGAATGTTAATATTTCTTACTACATTAATTAGGAATTCTTGGAAATAGCTGCATTAGAAGTTCTTCATGAGTAATTAAATATTATTATATGTTCTTTGAATATTACTTTTACCGTACAATGCTCATTTATGCTTTACTATTATTTTAGATATTTATCGGATTCAGCAGTTTCTGTACTACAAAAAGAATTTGTAGAGACGGAAGATCCATTATGTACAGGTAATTATCACTTAATGATTATATAATTTTTTTTTTGTTAATAATTTTGCTTATCTTCCCAATATATTACTACACCTAGATATTGATATATCAATTAGTCATCAAACACGTACAGCCATCAAAGCCACTTTTTATAATGTTCCTACTTCTGAATTAGATGATTTGGCGGATGAAGTATTAGAAGTATTTAAAAGAATCGTTGAAAGTGAAGGAATTGACATGAATCGTATGAAAACCGTTTTACGATTAGTGAAATTAAGGGTATGATATATCCTAAAACTTATACGATTTTTTTTTTCCCGAATTAGATGCTAAGTAATTTTTTTTTTAAAGACTTTGAATATGATTGAAACAAATCCACATAGTTATTTTAGTAATATTTGTATCTTAGGTTAGTACTTTACATTAATTATATGATTAAATTATTATTACCCTTTTAAATTTACTTGATTCCCTCTTTTAATAGATTATGTGTATGGCAAAGAAACAGGAGAATATTTAGAGAGAGTAGCAAAAGACTTAAAATATTACGATCAATTATCCGAGTTTACTGAACAACAATGGATACAATATGTAAATAAATATCATTTAGACAATCCAAACATAACAATCTTGGGCAAACCTTCTGCTAAACTTGCTGAAACATTAGTAGAGCAAGAAAAAAAACGTACGGAAAAACAAATCGAGAATTTAGGACCCGACAAATTAAAGGAATTAGAAAAGCGCTTAGAGGAAGCCAAAAAATTAAATGACTTACCTATACCTCCTGATATTATTGAAAACTTTCCTGTGCCTAGTGTTGATAGTATTCCTTTTATTAATTCTGTCACCGGTCGTAATAAGCCTGAAGGGAGATTGTATGTATTTATTTTTTGAAGAGGAGTTTGGAAGGTTGATTACTAAAAAAAATTTTAATTTATAGCGATAATCCTGTTCAAAAATACCTTGATCAAGATTCGAAAATAGACATTCCTTATTTTATACAATACGATCGTAAATAATTCAATAACAAATGTTTGGTTTGCCTTATATTATTTTATCTAATGTAATTTTTCTTCCATCTCTTTTTTTTTTTAGATATTCCTTCCGCATTTGTAACAGTATCATTATATATCAACACTTCAAATATACCAGTTGAATCACGTCCCTATATTAACTTATACCTTGAATCGTTTTACTCGCTTCCGCTTACTCTTCCTGATGGGACCAAGTTAACATTTGAACAAGTTGTATCAGAATTGAATAATGATACCGTGGATTATCAATCTTCTCTCGGAGTTGGACAATCTTTTGATCAAATGATTGTATTTCATATTAAGGTTGAATCTAATAATTATGTTAAAGGTATCCAATGGTTACGTGATTTACTATGGAACACAGAATTTACCGCTGAGAGGTATGCAATATATCACGACATCTTTAATCTTATGCTTCGTGATATTTAATATTATTACTTTCAGATTAAAGGTCATAGCTACGAAATGTCTTAATGAGATTCCAGAAGAAAAACGTGATGGAAACAAAGTAAGCTTTTGATTTTGTATTGTATTTAATTATATTATTTATTCTTATAATGTTTCTTTTTTGACTTAGATGTCATCAGTAGTTTCAGAATTGATTAACTTTGATTCCAAATTATCAAATAAATGTTCTCTTTCATCTCTTTCTCAAGAGAGATTTTTACCTAATTTTATTAATGAATTAGGCGAGGACTCTGATCAAACTATTCAAAGGTTTTATCAACTTAGAGTATTATGTGAGAAAGATGTTCTTAAATTTTTTTTTTGTTTTAAAAATTATAAGTCCAATGATGATATATTTTTTTATTTAGTGACCAAACCTGAGAATTTGAGAATTCATGTTATAGGAGATATTTTGAAGCTTCCTAATCCAAAAAGTGTTTGGGCTGAACATTTTAAGATAATTGAAGTAAGCATTTATTTGTTGTTAAAATTTGCTAAGGCTCATTTATATAATGTATCTTATTGACCTGAATAATTTAAAAAACTTTTGGAACGGGTAGACTTCTAAACCATTAATACCTGTACCTTTATCTCAACAATTTTTGACAGAAAATGGAAGAAATCCTGGGAATCAGGTATAGCAATCGATTATTTTAATTATTGAATTAATTGATAACCTTTTTAAATTAACATATTTATACATATAGGGTTATATTGTTAAATTACCATCTATTGAAAGTTCTTTTTCAACGCATATAACCAAAGGCCCGTTGAGTTTCGATTCACCAGACCTTGTACCGTTACTAGTATTATGTGAATTCTTGGATATTACGGAAGGTTTATTATGGATTTCAGTTCGTGGTCAGGGTTTAGCTTATGGTACTTGGTTTAATGTTGATATTGAAAGTGGTAAGAATATTTTAAAATTCGAATTTTTTTTTTTGAAATTATAATACGTAATTTATTCATAAGAAAATTTTTATAAAGGACATGTCAGATTTACTATTTATCGATCTCCTGATGCTTTTAAAGCTTTTGAACAAGTTAGAAAAGTTGTATTTGATTTGGCTGAGAGAACGGTAAAATATTTTGTTATTTTTACAAGAAACTATTTGAACATTAAATAATTAGTCATTGATTTTGTTTCGTAGATTGATTTTGATAAATCTAAATTTGATGGTGCTAAAAGTAGTGTTATCTTTAATCTCGTTAGAAAAGAGGTATGGTCAACAAGTTATCAAAATGAGGTGGTGATTTGATTTATAACTTAACCGAACTAATTAATTTTTTTCCCCCTTTACTTTTGATCTCATAGCGTAATCTCTCTGCAGCGGTAAGTGTTCAAATTCGATTCTCGACTTGTTTTTTTTTTTAAAAAAAAAATTAAAATTATTTTGTAGGCTACTGAGTCGTTCATCGTGCGAGTATTAAAAAATATGGACGCTAATTATAATAAAAATCTAATAGCAAAAATTCTGGTAATGTATATGTAAATAGATTTTTTTTTTCCTTTACCATATCTTGTATATTAAAAATTCCTTTAAATTTTAGGCTATTAAAATTGAAGATTTTTATCCAATATTGGTGAAATATTTATTAAATCTATTTAAACCTGAAACTTCCAACGTTGTTGTAGTTTCAACTCCTGTTAAAGTTGAGGTAAATGCAAATTTGATATGTATTTTTTGAGAAATTTTGTGATGGAATTTATTAATTTGATTTACTTTAGGATATTGGACAAGAATTTAATAATCATAAATTTCACTTGAAAGTTAAAAATTTAGATTCTATTATTAAAAATATTTCTTGAGATTATGAATCCGATGAGAAATTTAATTTTAAAATTCAAAAGTAATCGAACTGTATTACTTATATATATGAATCTAAAGTTGTTTTTTTTTCTTTCGATTGTATGCTATTATAATAAATGAAAATAACGTTTTTTATTACCATTAAATGAAGCTGTATAAACATAAGATAATTCAACAGGACCTTGTATACATGATAAAATAATTTCTTTCGGATCTTTAACTAATATATATATATTAAAAAAATTTAATATAAATCAACATTTAATTAATATTTATAAACAATAAAATAATAAATTGCTTACTTGTAAAATAAAGAAGAAAAGTTTTTGGAGGCATATCAACATTTTCGGAGGATTCTTCAAGAATATTAAGATTTAACCCATAAGTAAATTCATAATTTCCAATGGGTAAAGGGCATTTTTCATTTACAATTGAACAAATATACTCCATATTTTTAAATATTATCTCGTTATTTTCATCAATTAATAAGAAATCTATTCTGGAACCTTCAAGAATTTCAACATTTCTTGTTCCATTAAATGTGTATGATGCACTTTGTCCTATTACTAACGGATCAGGATTTATTTGAAAATTTGAAATGGTGTTTGGATAAGGACCTCCTTCACATTCAGTAAATTTTGTTTCATCAGGTAATAAAGCATTTATCGTAATTATTAAAAGAAGCAAAGTTATGGTGAAAGAAAAGCAAGAAATGTCCTTCATAATTAATTATAAATATTTACAATAAATGAAATTTATACAGTAATGCAATTTGAAAATCATATTTTTACTTGGATTTGAATGATATGTAAACGTTTTGTTTAAAATAATAATAATATATATAAATTATGTTTTTGTTAATAATGAAATAATAAGTAATAATATTTTAGTAAATCGATAATGTATGTTAAAAAATAAATTAATAGATCTTATTAAAATAAATAATTAAAAAATTATTTTATCCTAAAACATTTAATATTTGACTTTTTATTATACAAAGTACAGATGAGCTTTGAAAATTTCTCAGATTTTAATAATGATAGCAATGATAGCAAATGCGAAATTATTCTATAAGATATTCATTCTTGCAAGGGTTTTGTTGCGTCATAATCTAATAGATAAGAAAATTGTTTACAAGTTTAGTTCAAATTGATCAAAGATATCGTCATTTTCCAGAAACTTATAGGGTCTTCCAATTCGTTTATAATGCGGGATACTATTTAAAACGTCAAATCCTACCAAACCACAATCAATATCACAAGATGTACGACATTGCCATGAATATATTTCATCGGTCTTTACCCATTTTGTCCAGTTAACTCCATCACCTAAACAAATAAGCCAAGGCCTCGAAGCTTTGTAAACATTTGTATTTTCACCATATCCAGAAAGTTTAATAAAAGTCGATTTCCAACCTTCACGGGAACTATGTAATCGTTGCCTTAAAGAATATGGTATAATGGTCATTGTTGACCCAGTATCCATGATCATTCGGAAACCATCCTCGTTATTTTCCATAATCACTTCATCTAAAGCATTCACCGCATTCCGAAGACAAATATGGACCTAACATGGCAAAATCATACATAAATAGGGCATTGACAGATATTTCATTATAAACAATAAAAAATATCCGCCAATGACCTTAATTATGCAAAAGTTTGTTTTATGCTTACCTGCCATTCCTTCTTCACTGAATCAACAGTAGCAGATACTCCGCGAATTACAAGGGGTGGTGGTTCAACGATGGGCGCGTAAAACATTCCGGGATTTTCTTTATCAAGTTGATCATAACATTCAGATGATATTTCATTTCCATAACGAACTATTTGCCCGTTAATGAGTAATATATGTGTTCCTTTTGATGCATCGAGACTCTTAGATTCGAGAAGTTTACGATAAGCGATTGTATTGGTTACAAGCTCTTTTCCAGCCGAGCCCCAATCTGGATTAACAATGTAATCGAAGATTATTAGACGCTCATTAAATTCAAATGTGGGATGCCAGGCGAAATCAGGATGAGCATAGTCTAATAAGTGATAAAACAGAGGATATATTAAAACATGCCTAAATCAAGTCAAGCTGGAACAGATTTGTCATTTACCATAGAATTTCTTAAGTTCCTCTTTATTTTCAGCAATATTTTCAAGGCTCAATTTTTTGGCAAAACTTTTAAGAACAAGATCTTCCGGTGTATCCCCAAGGTTCAGTTTTTCAGCGCACTTCCTTTCGAAATCAGAATCTTCAAAATGTATACAAGAGTTTCAATTCAAACTTTGTTAGACAACAATAACTAGCAATATGCGAAAATTACGAACCATACTCGGCTTCAGCTTTTTTAGAAGAGTTAGGCGGGGTAAGCAATATAACAATATTGGTTTGGTTGGTCTTATTTTTCTTTTTGAGCAACTTGTTGATATTCCAGAATTTGGGCATATTGGTATTTGGGAATTTGTATGACAAAGTTGTCGATTTTGGAAAAAGAGGCGTAAACTGTATATATTACGTAATAATGTACTATTTTGTGATATAGTATAACATTTAAAATTATTCTAAATTTTTCCTATAATAAAACTAGGTGAAAAAGAAATACAAGATATCCTTTTATTTATGATGTGATGATGATATTAATCTATTTAATTTAGCTTTTAATTTGCAACAAGACTTTTTTGAGTCGGTTGAGCAAAAATACACAATATGTATTTGAAGAAACAAATAATCCAAATATTTAGTTAGATGTTGATGCTAAAAAAGAAGAGAATCAATATGAATTAATTTCATTAATGGACAATTCTTAATATGAATAACCCGAATGCTTTAAAATGGATAAAAAATGTAAAATCCAATTGGAACGGAATTCAGAAAATGATTAATGAAGTACAATAAAAGAACTTTTCAAGCAACGTGGAATAAAACAAATAGCATAAATTGTGATTTCTATAGCAATATATTCAAAAAATATTTTAATGCATGTTCATAGTTTTTTTTTAAAAAAAAATGATATTAAAATCTAAAAGTATAAAGAAAATGCTGCGTGATTTTAGAATTCCGAAATTAGGTAATTATTTTTCGTGACCACTTTCCTGGGGGCGTTAAACAAAACGATATATAGAGTACTGTATTCGTTTTTCAATGAAACAAAATATGAAGAAACTAAAAATCCCTACAGATTCATCCTGAAGGAAAATTTTCAAATCTTTTAATAATCTAAATTTGTTCGTAATAAATAATTATTATTTTATTACATCGTCGGCATCAGATTAATAATTAATGTAATAAACCAATTTCTTTACAAAAAAAAAAGTATATATTAAGGTGATTTATTAAATATTTTCCCTCAGCATAACTAACTTAAAATAATATATTTTAAACCCAAATTAATTTACATACAAAATAATAATATCAAAGCCTTGATTATAGAATCATTAACAAAGAAGCAAAACTAAATATAAGGGAAGCGAGCATGTCGGCGCCAATGGCTCTAGCATCAGCGGATACTTTAGCATTTACAACCTTGATATCAGCACATTGATACCACGTAGTATTTCCACTGGTTGAATTGTAAATAGCTTGTAGCACACCCGAATCACCAACTTTGGCATTTGCTAAAGAGAGAGTAATATTTGTTTGAAATTGAGCTCCATCATTAGAACCTTCGGGAACGTTAATTGTGACATTATCTGTGTGCATGTTAAAAAGAAACTTTTTAATTTAAAATCTCTTTTTTAAAAAAAAAAAATAAAAAATTAATAAATTCCTTATAAATTTTAAAGATTTTATACCTGAAACGGGCATGAAAGGACCATCAGAAGTGGGAGCGTAGTTGAAATACATCATACCATTACCATCTTCGAACTTGGTTGTTGCTACACCATCTGTATATTACGTAAAAAAAATTTATAATTGGCCAATCAGCGAAATTAAGTATGGGGTTATTAATTTGAAAAAATCTCATATTACTGAAATTTGTATTTGTAAAAAAAAGTTTTCTCAAAAAGAAAAAAAAAAAAAAAAGAGTTCGAGCTATTCTAACAACATGAACAGGTTGCCGTTAAAGTACCCTTTTTTTCTTTTTATTTACGATGAAATAGGTGTATTCGACAAATTCGAAGAATTCTCACCTGTAACTGGAAAATCGGATATGGCAGCTGTGTTTACTACACTAAAACCTCCACAAGGAGCCTCGGTCATCGTTCCTTCATCACTTCCTCTACGTTTCGGAGCTACAAGAGACAAATGAGCATTTGTTGAAGAGATGAAAGCGAGGAAGAGGACAAAGAAAACAGCAAATGTTTTTGAGGTATTCATATCTGAGGTGAAAATGAAAAAAAAAATTGCCATGGAATTTTATTTGAGATTTATAACATAATTTGGTACCAATCGTAAACAAAATATTTTAGAAAGATTAAGTTCAGATTATCTTGAATACAAGTGCCCATAAAAGTTAAATATTGTCAACTGTAATAGTTACGATTACTTTAATACTGTCACACTTGCCTTAAATGGGTCAAACTTACAATAATTCTAGAATTCATGTTGTGCATTATCAAACATCATCTGATTAAATCTTTAATTTTAATTTTGCTCGAAAAGATATCATTTCTTATAGTATCCTTAAATCATAATTATTTCACGGGAATTTCCATGAATATCATGATTTTCACGGCTGCGCCGTAAAATTCATCGAATAACTATTACTTATATCGTAGCATTTCATTTAATAACTCCCTTACTATTTTTATAACAATAGAAACAAATGAAATTGTTGTTTTGTATATCACCAATACAAGTTGGTTATCATGATTCATAAGGTTATCGGAAATTTATAAGATTTAACCGGTTTCATGATTTTCCCGATCGGTAAAAGGATTAAGTTTTTTTGTATAATAATTCTTCGTAATTAATTAAATTGACGATTTGATAATAACAATGTTAATAATCAATCGTATAATGAAAGATACGGATTGAAAATTGGTTATGATAACGGAAGGTTTCAAGTTCCACTGCATTCTCCCCCCAATTTATTGTAAATTTCAGAAATTTCAGGGTATAACAATAACCTGTACGAGAACAACTTATTTTCTAGCCTAGGAAGTTATACAACAGAATAGAAATATTCTTTTTTTTTTTCGTACGAAAAATTTAGCTATTTTTATTTTTACTTCAAATCATATAAATCTTTTTATTTGATAAGTTTATCATCAAATGTTGATAATTTCTTTGCTATAACGACTGAATAATTCATGTAGAAATACACACCTCATCATCTTATATGGCATTTTTTTTTATATATATATTGAAATATCAGTTTATATAAGTGCAATTAGTTCAAAAGTTTACAGAAGATTTAACTTGATGTATTTTTATGTATCCCGGAATACTTTGAAAGTAATAATCATGGATGTTCGTCTTTCATTTTGAACCAGAAAAATTCCAATGTGACGAATAAGATAGACGAATATGATGAACAAAATGAAAGAAATAAAATGAAAAATTTTATGTTAATGTTCTTTTAAAATTAACTCTAAATACGATATTAAAGAAATCCCAATAATTAAATTGGACAATATTAGTATATTGCGATCGAATTTTCAAATTCTATCTCATTTTGATGAGCCTTAAATTAAGTATAATACTTTGTCTTTTCTAGCATGCAGTCAAGTTCAGAATTTTACAAAAAATTGAAATCCGAGATTTACTGCGCCTACGTGAAAATCGCATTTTTGAGGCTATATTACCTGAATATTGAGATATTAGATAAAATGCATTAATATCATACAACATTACTCTCTAAGAGAAAGAATCCAATATCAGCTGGAATGAGAGACTAATAAGTTTCTAAGAATTTTAAACTTGTGAGGAGACAATTATTATTGATAATTTTGCAGCTTAATAATTAAATATTATGAATAAAGATTTAAAATGAGAATTATGAATTGAGCTTATTTATATAATATATGTATGATCATATACCAGAATTTTGTAAAAATTGCAAAAGCAAATTAGATTAGTAACAAATGTATTTTTCTTTATAAGTATTTGACGCAACATAAATACAGCGTTCCAATGTCAACAACGTGCATACTGTATGTATGTATTTCTTCCATAAAAAATTAAGTGTAGAATAATACAATATCGATATAATTTTCCTTTATGAATATTGAAAACCTGCTTTCCTTTGTTTGACGATGAAAATAAGCTTATCGGCCAAAAAGCTGATAAACTAAAGTAAAGAAACTGTTGTGATTAATTTAGCAAAGCCTTTTTGCATGGTGTACCTTTTCATCTGCGGGCCCCAACGAATGAAAACCCATTTAAAAACATCATAACAATAATTTAATTTGGCGTAATAAGCAAACAAACATAAATCTTTTATTGATCATTATTTTTTCCTGATTTCGACCAAATGCTTTTTTTATTTTTATTTTGAAGATACGATTCAAAATAAAAAAAAAACAAACAGAATTTTTGCCAAAATCAATATTAAATAAAATCATATCCACAAGTATAACAGGCAGTGTTTCGTTTAGGAAGCTCTACGATTTGAGTACTAGAATTATATCTTCCTTTTCTTCAACCATTTAATCATTTTTTAATTAAAAAAGATAAAATATTTTTTAATATAGCCTTATTACTTTGTTATTTTTTTGTTATAAAAAGATATTGAAGATAATTAATTTTATGATAGATCATCCTTATTTTAAACTATATTTATCATTCAATTTATTTAAATTAGCAATAGTCATCTAATACTGTATATGTAAAAATTCACACTTTTCGGATAGAATTTTGATCATTATTTTATTTTATGGGACTTGTGCTACGGCAATGCTTGTTTTCTTGGCATGTTCATATACAGCAAAACCAATTTTATAAATTCATTTAATATGAATTCAATCATTAAGTATATGTTGTATCATCGCGTTCACTTTAAAAATCCTTTGATGCATTATCATTCCTTAAATTTTGATGTTATTGTGATACAGATAAATTAAACCAAGATTTTATTTCCTTTTCATTTGCAAGATGTAACATGTTCTCTTTCATCGATTCAATGATTATGCACATCTGGAGTTTCATTATGCTTATTTTGATTACTAAACGCGGTAAGGGAGAAAAGGGAGAAATTCGATAGTACGGAAAATAAAGTAAAAAACTGCTTTATCGAACATCTTATGTAACCATAAAGGAATTATTTATTATTATTTTTTAAAAAAAAAAATAATATTTACTTCAAATATTAACGTATCATTCCTTCTAAAAAAAAAAAAAAAATTCTTCATAATGTCCTCTCACCATACGATTGATGAAAGTGAAATTCTTAATCCTCAGGCAATTAAAACTGCGGTTACGTATGAACAAGTCAAACCATCGAACGTTACTTGTTCAAAACTTGCCACTCAATTGGATGATCATTCACATCTAAATGGTCAAACAAATTCTTCCTCCAAATTAAAATCTTGGGAGACTACTTTGGAAAAGGCTATAAATGCCATCGTATCTATTAAGTCAAATTGCGTGAGAAATTTTGATACCCAACATTCTGGTTAGTCTAAATTTATTCTAATAAAATGATTAATAATAAGATTAAGCCAATAATTTAGACTAAAAAAAAAGCATCCGAATTCGTTGATTTTTAGGTGAATATGGTGGCACGGGATTTGTGGTTGATAAAGAGAGGGGAATTATTTTATCCAATCGTCATATCGTGTCGCCAGGTCCTATTGTGGCTCAAGCCACCTTTATAAACTATGAAGAAGTAGAATTGCAACCTATATATCGGGATCCGATTCATGATTTTGGATTTTTAAAATTTGATCCATCCAAGATTAAATTCCTGGATTTAGTTCAAATCCCTCTTGAACCGGAAAGAGCAAAGGTCGGAATAGAAATTAGAGTTGCTGGAAATGATTCCGGTGAAAAGTTGTCAATTTTGGCTGGCACCTTAGCAAGGCTCGATCGTAGGCAGGTTTTTTGATAAAACCATAAAAAAAAGCCTCCAATCATTTTTATTACGCTTAATTAATTATCCGATCGTTTTTTTACATCAATCAGAGCTCCAGAGTATGGTATTGGTTACTATAATGATTTTAATACTTTTTATTTTCAAGCGGCATCCGGAACGAGCGGTGGATCATCGGGCAGTCCCGTGCTCGATATCGAGGGTAATGCTGTTGCCCTTAATGCAGGTTGTTACGTCCAAACATCATCTAGTTTTTATCTTCCTTTGGATAGAGCAAAAAGAGCCCTTAAATATATTCAAGAAGGAAAGCATGTTCCTCGCGGAACTCTTCAAGCAGAATTTGAATATAAGTCTTATGACGAACTTCATCGGTTGGGTCTTGGGTCAAATATTGAACAAGAAGTCCGTGAGAAATTTCCAGATGAGACTGGTTTATTGGTGGTTCATAAGGTTTTACCCAAAGGACCATCTGATGGTTTACTCATTCCTGGCGATATAATTATTCGCGCAAATAAAGAAATGATCACAAACTTCAATCATTTGTTTTCAATAATTGATGACTCTATCGGAGAGGAAATTGAGTTAACTATATGTCGTGGAAAGGATCAAATGGATCTCAAGTTAAAAATTCAGGATCTTCATTCCATAACGCCCGATCGTTTCGTTGAAGTAGGTGGTGGGATAATTCATGAGCTTTCATATCAGCTCGCTTATTCTTATTCCCTACCCGTACAAGGTCCATATATAGCCTCAAGTGGTTTTATGTTTGATAATGCATCTGCATGGAGTTATAATGTGATCGTTAGTGTTAATAATATCCCTACACCGAATTTGGACGCATTCATTGAGGTCATGAAAGATTTACCGGATGGTTTTAGGGTATCGTTAAGGTTTCATGATATATCCAACATACATAAGGAGAAGGTGACGATCATGTATGTGGATCGATATTGGAACAAATTTCGGATAGCCGTTCGTGATGGTACGTATGAAGTTCTTAACAATTTTACGTTTTATTTTATTTTAAATTTTTTTTTTCCTTCTCGATAAAATGATTATTACGTTATCAAAGACAATACTGGGTTATGGAATTATGAGGAGATCCCCCCTCCTAAAACCATTTATTCATATAAACCCGATACGGCTCGAATTCCGATTTTGAACGAATCATTACATCCTTCGGGAAAAGTTTGGCCATCATTTGTTAAAATTGAATGTTACTTGCCGTACCTAATTGATGGCATAAGCTACTCACGGGTAAATAAAAAAATATTAAATACGCATGCAAACGCGCATATTTTTTATTTCTTTTTCTTTAAGGATAAAAATGAGAGACAATCTTTAA